GGAGACCACCGGGTTCTTCCCGGATGGCGACACCACCAAACGATCTGTTCGAGTTCGACACCACCAGCATGGCAGCTCGATGTTGATGTCCATCTCGAGATATCTCTCGCCTGCTCAAACACAAACCCACCATCATCAAAATCACACACGCACACAAATTGTTGACATTACTTTCCAAGCACTTAAAACAACAAAGTGAACTGAGTGTCGTAATAATTCTCGATTACAGGCAGAACTTCACCTTCGAGCTCTGGATCCATGGCCAAATTCTCTAAAGTTGTCGGATTGTCCAAGTTAAAGCATCCCCGATGCCCTTTCCATTCGCCGCCATCCTCGAATATTCTGGGAACTTCTATAAATTCTTTCCTTAGAAATACCTCCGAATGACGGGTGTTTGATAAAGCATAGGAAATCTTGTAGGTAATGGAATAGGGTCTATTCCCTTCTTTCATTAACTCTGTTCTTTTAAAATCTTGATGTAGGGTAAGAACTTTGTTAAAATCGCGATCTCTTAAATTGTATGCAATTCTTGGATAGACATTGAAAGCAATTTTCCTGCATACAATTTCCCGTAATTCCTCCAAGACATGAGTCTTTAAGGTCAGAAATCCTTTTATCAAATATCGCCAGATTAAGAGGTGAATCTATTCCTTCTTTAAAGGTTGACTTGATGACAACTCTAATGGCTCTAATGTAGATCCATGAAAGTGTATTAGTCACCTCTCTTTTGAGCCTTCTTTTAATATCCTGAATTTCTTTATATGGAATGAGTTGCATCTCTATTTGATTCCCCGTATATTCCATTGGAATGGCAAACTCTCCTATTGAGACTCAATGGATAATATGGTGGTTTCTACTTCTTAAACCTAGTTTATCCATGACCTTTTCTACTGCTCTAATAGTAAATCCATCATACATTTGGAGCTTTGGATCTTCCTTCATAATCTTCATAAGGATTTTGTTAGACACTGTCGTATGGGAAAGAAATCCCGACATGTCTTCTCTTGTTACTTGTTGAAGGAACTCTTCTTTACTCTGATTCTGAACTGGATTCACTTCCATTTTCAGAGTAGACTTTTTCTTCTTCATAAATGCTTTCATCTGGGGAGATATCCTCAAATTGATATACTTGTATAAACTCTTGATAATAAGTTGATATAATAAATAGCATCATCAAATTCTGGAGTGGCTTCGAATTGTCTTATTCCTTACCTTTTATTATCCGGGCAATCGATTAATATATGACCTCTTGCTCCGCAAGTCCAGCAATTACAGTCTTTAAAACTTTCTTTGGCTCGTGTTTGAGTTCTTCTGAAAGTTCTTCTACTTGTACTTCTTTGATTGAAGCCTGAAGAAGAGGCTTTGTTGCGACTTGGTATTGGTCTTTGTCCAGATTTATAATTCTGAATTTTTGTTTTGACCAATATCGTCTAGGTCTCCATGAAAACCTATTCTTCTTGTATCCACCGGAGTGAGCATCTATATTATGCTTTCTCCGTTTGTTTCTCCATGGATGACTCCCAATAATTGTTAGAATGTCATTTTCTTCACAACATAGAGGAACTGATTTGTTGATTCCTCTAAGTCTTTTATAATTTTTGTGTAGTGCCGCCTGATGGCACCACTCAGATAGTTTGGCCTTGAGAAATGACATCCTTCTAGCCACCGTATCTACCTCGTCCATCTTATATTCTTTGATTAGCATCTCTCTCCATGGACTGGGTATCTTTGCAAAGAACAATTGGGAGGCTTCGGAGTCTGTCACCTTGGCCTTCCATCTATACTTAGTGAATAATTTGATATATTCATCTACATGACAAATGTCATGTAATTCTAAACAATAAGGGGCTTGCTTATATCTCTTTTGTTTTTCTTCCTCTACTCCTTCAAAATATCTTGTGCCGATAAATAAGATCTTAAATACTCTAGCCATATTATCAACTATTTCTTTTAATGATTCTCCAGGTATGACATCCCCTTTTACGTCTGGAGAAGCCATATCTCATGCAATTTTAACTGAACCTTCTAGGCTCATTTCGAGAAGTGAAATGAACCCTTCTTTATTGAGATCCAATGTTCCTCCAGCAATTCTCATTGCAGAGGCCCAGTCATCCATAAGGATCTCTCGATTTTTTAAATCTAAAGTATCTAGATTCAACATTAATCCTTAAGGATGATTTAGATCTAGTTGTGATTTTCCATAAGGGGTATTTTGAAGGTTAGGCCTTCAGAAACGTATTCGGGTACCAGCCGGATGCTCGCTTTCTCCCCAAACATGAAAATCCTTTTGATGGGGCATATGTTGTTCCTCAGGTCGGTGAGAACCCAAACTTTCTCCTCCAGGAGGAGGTTGGGATCTAGTTATTATTGTTGAACCATCTCCCGTATTCATTTTTAAGTCTACTAGACCCAGCCCTACAAAGGATTCTGCAAGGTCATGTAGATCCTCCAAATTCACTCTTTCCATGATTTGTTAGTGAATTTTCCTTGTAAGATGGCTCTTATCTTTTCGTCCTCTGTCATAGGCCTTCGAACTTCGGTGGGTTTGCCCTTTTGGTGTAATAGGGGTACTGTTCCAAAGGTTACTTTTCTTCGTCCTACAGAAGAACTGGGTCTATCTTCTAGAGTTTTAACTCGCTTTTGAATGTCAATAAGGATATCCAATGTATCCTTTTGACTCTTCATTAGTTCTTCAATGTCGGTTAGCATTTGCTAAACCTTGTTCGGTACAAGCAATTGCTTTTCACCATAGCTTTGTACCGTCTTTTGTATTTCACAAATATCTTCAGAAAACTTAGATGAGTCTGGAATAACTTCTTTCCAGATTAAACTATTATAGCTCATTGGTGATTGTGATTTTGATGAGCTATTTCTTGATGATTTATAAATCTATTTGTAACAATTAGTTCACCTAGAGGGCATCCATATGATACTTCTTTTGGTTTGGCAAAGTTTAGTTGTAATTCTATTAACTCCTGCCATGACTTGTTCAACATAACAGTCATCCCAATGGGCAACCATTTGTTGGTGTTTTTGTTCACACATCTTCAAGATTTAAAGATATCTTAGATAATATATACATTCTGGACAATTTTTTATATCCATTCTTTTATAATTCTCCTCACCAAAGTTCAATTACCATGTAATAAATTCTTCTAAGAGTTCTAATAAAACCTAGGCTCTGATGCCATTTTATGAGATGTTGTACTCAGGGAATAAAGTCAGGTACAAGATAAAAAGACATTCAGTACTCCATGTAAATTTATAACACAAGATACTATTTTGAAAGCACCAGGTACTATACTGAATGAAAACTGGTACTTTTCTTTTAGAAAACAGGTATCGGGGACAGAAATATAATTTAAACCTTAGAGGGGACCATGAATTTGTTGACTAGGGAGTTGAATGGAAAAAATTATCACCTGGGACTGAATGAGAAGATGAATTTAGGATTGGGGATTTATCTATACATTACCCTATATATTTTCAATAAAATCTTATATAAATTTAATAGTAATTTATTGACACAGTTCACAAAATTATTATAAAAATTGATTTGATTAAATATATTATCATCTATAGTTGTAGATATTAATTTAATTAATTTTATTCACTATTCAGAAGCACTTAAAAATATTTCAGAACAACTATGTTTAATCATACTAATTTAATAAATAATTTAAAATATTAATAAAAGTTTCTGAAAAAATAGTCAAATTAACTATTAAAAGGTACATCTCCACTGAATATATCATTCGTAGTGATAAAACTATTGAAAATTTAAATAATATATCAATAAAAATAAAATTTGATGTTCGGGCGCAATACATAGTTGTAAATTTTACCTTAGAGATATCTATGTACATTAAAAAATTATTCACTTTTTTTAAAAATATTTTTTTCCTTATATACTATTTTATAAATAACAATAAGTTAATAAAATACTAATATATAATAATTTAGATTATATCACTTGGTAATTATTTAAATATATAATATATCTAAATATTCAGATATAAATTAATTAACTCATTATATAGGTTGGAATAATGAATTAAAGAATAAATGTAAATAAGACTGAAGAAGAAGTAAAAACAAAATATACAACCAAAAAAAATTATGTGTGCATGCAAATATCATATGATTATACATTTGTAATATTTTATGAACTTATAAATAAAATTTATAGTTAATAATAAATTTCATATTATTACTGAATAGAATATTGTGGAGAATATAATTTTATATTGTCTTAAATGATTTTATAATATGTAAATAAAAAATATTTTTTGTATTATACCCTGTGCATCGCACGGATATCAACACTAGTTATTTGTAAATAACTGTGAATAACTCAATACTAATATTTATAATGAATGAAAGGATTTATGTATATATAGAATAATGTTCTCTTTTGATGACAAAAACATTTAATAAATGACTTCAAACTTGATTTGTTAATAAGCATTAACTAACGAAACTCGAGTCACACCAAGTCAAATTATGCTAAAAGTTAAAAAAACTGCGTAAAAAAAACCTTATCAAACCCAAGCAGCCTAGCTCAAAGTCTCATCAAGTCTAGCTCAAACCTTAACATGCATAAAAAAACCCTTACTTATCAAGCCCAAGCAGCCTAGCTCAAGCCTCATCAAGGCTAGCTCGAATCTTAACAAGCCTAGCCAAGCTTACGTGTAGCTGGTTTCATTAACACCACTTCTAATTTCTATTATCTAATTTATCGATCATTAGGGAAAAAAGAAAAAGAAAGAAAGGAAGAGGAAACCGGCTAACAGAAAAGAAAAAAGACGTAGCAAAATAACAAGAGTGCGCGCGACAGCAGACATAAATTCAGCCATTTCAAGTTCAAAATCACTTCAGATACAAAAACAAGAAAGATCAAGATAAAAACCCAAATGCTCAAACAACCCAGAAATTTGTGCTCTAACAAAAGTTCAAAAGCCAGGAGCAAACCCAAAAAAGGAAAGGCAAACACACACAAATCAGTGCAAGCTACGTAATATCCCGTGCAAATACCCGCCGCTCATCACCAGCGACGTGAACGCCACCACTCCTGCCGGAAACACCTTCCCCGACTTCCAGAATCTTCCTCCCATCACCACCAGCAGCAAGGCCGACACCCCAAGCCCCAGAATCGAGGCCTGCACAGGGGCCTGAGGCAGCAGATTGTAAACCCAACCCAACACGAATGCCGAGACCAGGCCACTCGCCAGCGATTTCACGCTCCCGGCCTTCACATAACCTGCCATCCCGCCTATCACGATCAGCCCAGCGTATCCCAACGTGAGCTTTTGTGACATGGAAAGGCCGGGAGGTTTTTTCTCGTGGGCCCCACCTTCGTCTTGACCCCCACCGGATGGCCCACCTCCGTTCCCGTCGCCTCCTCCGCCGCTGTTGCCTTTAAAATTGTCGTCGGAGCCGCCGGAGTCCGGCATGATGTCGAAGCCTCCGCCGGCTGAGTCGACTGTGAAGTTGGTCGGGACCTTGGAGTCCGAGGCGGCTCGGGCTTGGATGGTTGTGAAGGAATTCGGGTTTCGGTTTGCTGATGAGAAAAGGACGGGGGAGTGTGTAGCGGGTGAGGCTGAGTGGCGGTTGGTGATGAGGTGTACCCTCCTTGGTGGGGAGGGGCGGGATGATATCAGAAGAGATGACTGTGAAAGTGACAGGATGTTTGCCATAGTAGCTGATATTTGAGATATTTTTTTATGTGAAATCTAGTATTTAGAGGGAATATTTGTGTTTTCTAGGAAGCCGGGTCTTTGGGTTTCGAGGTCTCTGCGAACTCCACGAAAATCAAACGCCCATCCACAATCTGCAGGTGAAGGGACCAAATGAGAAGAGGGAACATTCCAGAAGCAGTGATGAATCAAGACCTTGGAAATTGTATTAATATTGCTGGTTTTGTTGCAGTGTTAACACTTTAACATTGTAAAGAGAAAACAGAACCACTCCAGGCAAAAGATTGGAATCAGGGATCAACAAATTGCTGGGAAAAAAAAAAATATACTCTCCCTGTCATAAATCAATTTATGTTTTAGGCCTAAAGATTGTCCCAAAATAATTGTCGTTTTAATAGTCGAAGACTTAATCGTTTTCACGTTCATCCCTCTACGCCCGTACTACTATTCTCAACACAACACTTCACTCCAACTAAGGTAGTTGAAAAACATGTATGACTGGACTTAAAACGACAACTAATTTGGCCAAAACGTCTACGCTATCTACAAAGGTTCCTGATTTACTATATCAACAGATAACCGAGAAGGTAAACTTAAAGTCGGTGGAAAATAAAAGCAGCTAATTGCACTATCTATAAAGCACTATATTTTAGATGTACAGAACAAACTTATCAAAGGTTTCAGAGACGATTCCAAACTAAACAAAGCAATACTCATGAACTGTATCTAAATAAATCAAGTGGTTAAGAAAATGAAAGTTCATGGAAACACAAAGATACTACGACAAGAAAATACAATTCGGGTCAAAGAAAAGATCGGTAAAAGACAGGCCTTTACCCTCCCATTCATAGCCTTCAATGCATTTTGAGCTTCAAGTTCTGAAGCATATTTGACAAAACCAAATCCCTTAGGCCGTCGGGTCCTTGGGTCTTTCACAAGCCTCACTGCAACAGTAAAAATGATGAATAAATGAGTAAAATGACACAAACATGAACATTGAATCAAAAGCCTGAAATACAACACATGCCAAAAAAAAAAAAAAGCTTATCTCTTTACCTTCCTCAACAACACCAAAAGGCGAAAATAACCTCTCCAATTCTCTAGTTGTGATGTAAAACGATAATCCTAAGAATTCAAAAGCCAAAGTCAAACCAGGAAACGAATAAAAATGAAGGCTTTAAAAATATACGAAAAGCAGAAGTGAATATACAAACGATACTTGATGCCAAACATTCACACTGAAGGAAGAATACATACTGCTAACGAACAGCTCAGAAGCAAGTCGATTTGCTGCCATGTGAGCTTAGAATCGCCATACCATTTGCAGGTTGCAATTTGGTGGCTAGGGTTTTCAAGTGAAGTAACATACAAATTGCTTGGGGCTATTTTTGTCCATGGACAACCTCACCAACGTCAAAAAGATTTCTATTTAATAATGTAAAAAAAATAATAAATAAAATAAACGAGCTTCACTCACAGTAGCAGCTTCCGCCAACTGCAGATGCAGCCCACTTCGAACCGCGATCCGGCGGTTCAACCGGCCGCGGGCCAGGGACCCGCTTTCAGAATAGGGCAGAGGGTCCATTTTTGCGGGCAACCCAGGAGAATCGGGACGGTCAAGTACGTGGGCCCCGTGGAGGGTTTCTCCGGTGATTGGGTGGGCGTCGATTGGGATGCCGACGGCGAGGGCAAGCACGATGGGTCCCACAATGGGGCCAGGTACTTCATGGCCAGGGGGCCCAAGACAGCGTCTTTCGTGCGGCCCCACAATCTGAGCGCAGGGGTATCGCTGGTGGAAGCACTAGAAACTCGCTATCGATCTGCCTCTACTAAGGAAGAGGAAGGTAAAAGAGCTGGAACCAAATGATGTGTGTTGCGTTGTAATTGGTACATTATCTGAAAATGAGAATTTTCGTGCTTGGATTACATTTGCTTGAGCTCTGGCTATGATCATTAAGCGGCATCTCGTAGTAAATTGTGGAATTTGGCACTCAGCCTATAAAAATGTGAACGTGTTTTCTTGACTGTGCCCCCTTGTGTTTCTTTCAAGAGAGAGATACTGATGGTTTCCTACCATTTTTAGTGAAAAACCAGCTCCACTACATAATCTAGCTGTAGTGATTCGCTAATATCATTTTTCAATGTTACATGTTAAACTGCTGTGCAGTACTGTTTGTTTTATGTGTTGTACAGTTGGATCAAAGCTGAATGTAGATTTGCTACTAAATTTGTAGTTTGACGGCTATTGTTATGCTCAAGAATCGAGAGTTGTGGCGTTATTGTGAAAGTGTATATTTCTCTAATTCAGCAGTTGGTGTGATTTAGATATTGAGTTTATTCACTTCTTTATTTATACACAGGATATATCAGAATCTCAGATATATTTGAAGTTTATACAGCCATTATCTGTGATGGTTTCCTTCTAATATCTGCTTACTTGAAATTACTGTGTAAATTTAGTTACTTTTTGTAATATGACTCCTTATAGAGGAGATGTATGTCCTTTCTGCAACAAACAAAAGAGTGTCAATCGAGCTTCTTGGGAAACACAAAATTGAAGAGAAAATGAGTCGACTTGAGGAGTTGACGAGTGCATCATTATCTTACTTGGGAGTCAGTAATCCTGGGAACCCTGAACACATCAGTTCAACTCTACCAAGTAACTTTCGTTTCACCTTATTTAAATAGACTAACTCCTATCTTCTTATAGTTTGCCGAACCCATACTGCCTAGCTGTCTAATGGAGGCTACAACGCTTAATTTATTTAGTGATTCTTGCTTAACTATTTTTTCCCTTTTATACTAAACTATTTTTGAACTCCCAAATCTCTTTGCAGATATTAAGGAGCTCGACTTGACTGGAAACCTACTTGATAACTGGGAAGTATGTGATCCTTGCTCATGCACTAAATATTTATGGACTAATTTGAATTCAGCTGCAATTTTTCATACCCGTGAAGTGCAAAAATAATCTGATATTGCCTTAATTAGGGGGGAATGGAAAATTTATGTGCTACTAAATCAAAGCTATTGCTTTGTTATAATAATTGTCTGGTCTGGTTCTGCATGAAAAACAATATATATGAAGTCTTAGTTTGGAAATTTCCAAGTACATGATGACTAAACTGTGCTTTGAAGACTTGTTCTCTGATGTAGGTGTTACTTTTAGATATGGTTATATAAAAAGGCAACCTTCCTGATTGTCCTAGCAGGATATTGGTGTTGTGTGCAAAGGATTGACTGCTCTCACAACTCTCAATCTGTCCAATAATTGCTTGTCACACCATATCATTAATGTGCCCCAGCTAAGCAATATTCATGTACTAGTCCTGAACCAAACAAGAGTAATCTGGAAGCAGGTGGAGCTCAACTCTTTTGTAATTGATAATTTTTCAGGTCAACAGTAAAGGCATTTTATAGAATAATTCATTTAATTTTACAGGTCGAAGTTCTTAAAGATTCACTCCCACATGTTGAAGAGCTGCATCTGATGGGAAATGAAATAAAGGAAATAGCGGTCAGCAATACCTAAGACGCTGTAGCTGTTGTTTTTCTATTAACTTTGCAAAGATAAAAATAGTTTTCATTTCTATCCAGTGCTTTTTTCGATTACCTTTCCATTGTTTTTTTCATTGATTCTGTGGCAGAAAAGTTAAAAGATAGTTTTACTACTAGTAAATATTGATATTATAATATGCTATATCAAAAAATGTCCTTGTCTCGTGTGCAAGACACATAATATATGGTATCCTTTCGTGAAGAAGTAATAACATTAAGGAAATATTGAGTGGCGGCGTCAAACATCATCTGCAGCTTTGATGGTACTAGCAGGAGAGAATATAACAAGGGGCTGAGTATAACAAGCTTAAGAGATTTTCTGGTTATTTTAGTGAACTCATTATGAACTATTTCGGAATAATTTTGTAGGGGAGTAGAATGGACTATTAGAGATAATATCTCACTGAAAGGAGAGTTAACATTATTCATGAGTGATGAACTGTAGCAATACTATTTTTTATTCCTGTGAAAAGCACTTATGAATCTTCAAGCAACCATGAAAAAGTGAACCACTTTTCTCTTTGTGCTTCTCTCCATTTATGAAGAAGTGACTGCCTACTCTTACTCTTGCCTAGTGAAACTGCTATCTGAAATAAGTGCACCGTGTGTTATTTATAGCATTTGTATTGTAATGTCCTTTCCTAATAACACTGTATCTTGCTCTCCAGCCATTATCATCAGTGGTTGTCCGAGGATTTAATTCTCTAAAACTTCTTAACTTGGAAAACAACTTTATCTCTGATTGGAATGAAATTATCAAACTCTCTCACTTACCCAGGTACTGATCAAACTTTTGTTTTCTTTATTAATAGCTATAATGGAATTTTGAAATTGTATTGAGATTTTGTCTCGTGGTTTCTGTGTTCAGTCTCGAGCAGCTTTTCCTGAATAACAATAACATAAATCGTGTCTGGTATCCTGATTGTGGTGAATTGGGTGAGCCATACAATGGGTGTGAATCTCATGATAAAAGTTCTAAGCCTTTCAGCAATTTGCGCAGCCTTTCTTTGGGTAAAGTAAAGAGACTCCACGACACAGTTTTTCTTGACCGGATACATTAGTTGTGGACATTAACTGACTTGTTACTGTTACAGGGGGCAACAACATTGAAGGCCTGGAATCTGTTGATTCACTTAACTCCTTCCCAAACTTGACAGTGAGCATCATTTTTTTTAACTGAGTTGTGATTGAATTTGGTGCTATATGAAAATGGAATGTTCTCATATATCACTATCTGCATTTATTATTATTATTATTATTTTTTTTTTTTT